ATGGAGAGTGAAACACTTACATCGGTTGTTCCATTCCTCTATACCGTGAACACACACATAGCATTTCTCTAGCCTTTTCTATTACATAAACGTCACGGATGCATGCGAACTGAAGTCCTCACCACGCGCGCAAGCCAAGGCAATGTGCGAACGAACTCAGAAAAGTTCAGCCGATTGCAACGAGCCCACTGTGCTAGGACTCATCGAAACTCGATCAAGCAACGGTGAGTGCTAACTGGAACGTGTAAAGCTGCATGCTGGCTGGGAAAGCCTTAAAACGGCGTCGCAAAACGGAACTGATTCAGAAACGAGAACCGGTTACACTGAGATCAAAGAATCGCGTGTGGCGCCATCGAGCACTTGGTGACCGAATATAGTTGCGGTGTACGGTAGTACGGTTATCATGACTATGTGGTTGGTTCAACTCGACTACTGATGAAATGAAACCAGTGAAAGAGGAGAAGGTTAGCTAACTTGTGACAAGCTATTGAAGTTTGGCTGAGCACGTAACACAAACAACGTGTTCATATGGACGAGATTTTCGCTGTGATCGTAAGAGGAAGAAGGCCTTCGCTGTGGAGTTACTCCTTGGAAGACACCAACTGAACAGTTACAGACTATTGGACAGAGAAGCAAAACTCTCATATGCATCTGGTTTATAAAAACAATGCATCCATCTTCTTCTCCAACAGGGCTTACTGAACTGTCCTGGACTATCACTCCTTGATTATCACTCAAACGCAAACGATTCCCACAAAGCGATTCCACAAATTCCGTAATAAATCCCACTTTTTATTCAACGTGAAACGGAGATAGACACATACTAATCGGATGCTTCACCAGTAGTATCCAAAGCTTCAGTGGTATGGGCCATTGGATCGAATCGGAAANACTAAAGTCGATAATTTGACGTAAACTTTGGCGATACAATATACTTAGTTCGCTTCTTACGGTGCTGAAGAAATAATCGATGGATTTCGTCCTAATTCTCGAAGACGCATATGTCCTTCATGTTGCCAAAAAACGAGTACACCGAAAATTCAGCACATGATTACTTTCTACCGAGAAAACGAGAGGCTTTCTGAAAGATGTTGCTTAATAAAAGCTGAGTAAACAACATTCAATGAGGTCTACTGTAGAATGTCTTGAAACTCACTCATTTTACGTCCTCTTCGTGTGCAACGCTCTTTCTTGGAACCCACTTGCGAAAGTTGTGTCCACTCGTCGCTCCATGAGAATCCAGTCTGTTTATATTGGTGCCAACTTCGGATGCACGCGGCAGGGGCACGTTCATTGTCATGGCTCAGCCTCGCAGACGGTGGGGGGCTTGTGAAGCAGTGCTTTCTCAGAATTCATGCTCGTCTGACACGATGCCGCGGCCAACACCCGGCTCGTTTCGACACACACACACGCGCGCGCTCAAAATGTTAGGTAGGTCATTGGAGGTCTTGACCCTGTCCGTTGTGTGCGCACGCACACACACGTTTTGTTCTTTCTGATAACCGCGCAACAAGTCCGAAGAATTAGGCACTGATCACGTTTCTACATCTTCCAGCTAACCTCCGAAAACACCACACACGTGAGGTCACTCAGAAGTTACGTGATGCTCATTTGAACGGTAATTTGCGTAACGACAGTTGAATAGTGGCCTGTTTTTTAGCCATGCTGATAAGCTGTAGCAGATCACAAGCAAGATCGTTCGGACGGTGTTTCTTTAATTATACGGTACCTGTCTATCTAGTATCGACTGAGCATCATAATAGGCTGAATGATAGCACTAATTGAGAACTTTATTTCGTTGAGCTATCGCCGTAACATAGAATGAAGTAATGACTTTTATAGGGTTGCTGAATACTGGTCCCGCCCTTCTGGGGGAGACTCACCTGGAGCCCAGCTGGATCTCTCGTTCATGATGTTTTCAAGCAAATGAGTATGCTCTACCAGACCGCCTGATGTTTCAGTTGGTACGATGTTCGAGATATCGCGACACATGTATCGATGCAATACACTACTCATAATGTTGCTAATAATTCTTCGACAGCCCACGACCGGTTTCGCTATTCTTGGGGCTCATCACCTTGGCGCATTCCACGAGTTTCGGTGAACCATATGTTCTGCGTGAACCGAAATGGCGCAGAATTTGGCAGCTGCACTCATTCGCACACAATTTCGGTTTTCTTGGACGCAAATATTCTCGGCCTGGAGCATTCATGAAGTTTCTCAAAACCCTTTGGCAGATCATAATCGGTTTCCCTCTTCTTGGGGTTATTTGGGTAGACGAGTTTCCCAAGTTTCCGCTCTACTTGAGCCTAACTTACGCAAAATTTCGGCCTTTGTGAAGCAGGGTGGAGCTAGACGTGATCTATTTCAGGGGCGGTCAAACAAGGTAAAGCCGACACTTGATCCCGTCTTTCTCCAGTTTGCTGGCCGATCCAGAGACATGCATTTTCAGAACCGGCTTCAAAACGATCTTCCTTGTTAGCTAGCCG